TCAGGTGTGCGGGGACGTTTTGAGAGATTTCAGCGTGTGTTACAGTAATATTTTATACGAGGTTTACCGCCTGCTCGGCTTTCTTTGTAATATACTGTGCATCCATCTCGCCTTGCCAATGCCACAATGGCAAAGGCAAGAATAAACTAAGAAAGTCAGATTTGTAGGTTTAACTGTTGTCTATTAAAAACCAGGGACTTTAAATAAGCTACATACTACATAGTGTGTATCTTTTTGTCCCGGCCAGGCGGGAAGGATGTTTACCGAGATCCCGCTCATAATACAAATTCTAATGAGTGTTTATTTTATATGATCCCGCCACTTATCCCATGGCCATGGGCCTAAATGGGTCAACAGATTCCGGGATCTCACCTATAAGCAAGATGAAAAATTCAGATATATACATTTCATCCCGGCTGGGGGGGGTGAACTTTTCCCTTGAGCATGTGTATAAAATGTCTTTTCTGCAATATGACCATAGATTAAGAAATGAATAGATGGCTCACTCCTTTGAAGTTTTTGATGCCTCCGACAGGTGCGACTTCCGGTTGGCCGCCATTACTCTGGCCAGTAAAGTGCAGCCAGAACGAATGGAAAATGTATTGTGAAATTGGCATCGCGCGCATAAAAACTTCATTTTTACCGGTTTTGGACACCTGAATTCAACGTTTACGGTCGGAAATTAAAATTAGAAAGGTAAGAAAGTATTATTATCTGTTTTATTAGCCCTGAAAGTGTTTTTTTAAGTCAAATTTTGTGCTCTTAAATATGGCTAGTTCGGCCAGCCAGACATAAAAGAACATAGCTTTTCGTCCCATTTGCTGTATGTTTTCATTCGAAAGTAACATTAATATTACTTGAAACGAAATTTATAAACTATGAAAGTTACAATCCATGTACACTTTGACAATTCATGAACTCATTCTTGCAATAGATATACAGTATCTCTGATGTATATTACAGTGTCAGTATATATGTCTTCAACACAATTTCTCTGCCAAGTTTAATAAACATGTCTTTTTAAGTTCACTGTTTTCTTGAATTAGATATTTATCTACTAAATTTTGCCCAACTTATTCAGATGCAGCCCAGATAGTATTCGAAATGTTTAAGTTTATAAAGAGACTATATGCGGCTATTTATAGATGGCTAACTTTAATGTACTTTCTGCTCTTTCTTCCTTTTTTAGTTGGAGTTGCCAGTCTTCTGTTTTCGAACTTGATGGTGTAATATATACGCATCCGGAGAAAAAGCTTTAACATGTAGTCCATAGGAAACTCTGGACAAGAATGGAATGTGATGGACACACTTTGGAGGCTCTTTAGCAAATTAGCACCAACTAATTTGGACCTGTTATACACAAAAACATTTGACAGAAAGGAAATGGCTGTGATGACAATCAGAGTTCTAGTCCTGGCTTTTATTAGAACTATTACTGTACATGTCATTGTATACAAATTTTGGATGATGTGATTTCTTTATAAAATAAATCTTCATGGATGTTATTTGCTCAAACAATGATGGTTAAGGAATATTAGTGTTGTGAATGGAAATTATTTGCAGTGAAAACTGAGTGTGACAATGTTTTATATGCCAATAAACATGTTTATATATTTTTTATATTTTTCCAAACAATTTGTGTGTATACATCTTTGTTTTGCAGAACAGGCAAAATTGTCAAAAACAGTGCAAGTAGATTTCTCTTTTTATAATTACTGAACTCACTTAATACCTACCTATTTTGTAAATTAAAATAAACATATTTGAGAAAACTATGACTTTCAATTTAAAATGATTGCATTGAGGGTTCGCTTTAAAACTAAAATTTCTTCTCCACACCCAAAACGTAAACTGTAGCCTAGTCAGTCAATTAAAGAAGAAAAAGACACCCAAAACTGTTTAAGTAAGACATGCTCTTATTTTGCCTAGTGAGTCAAGGTTAAAGAAGAAATGCAAGATTTAAACAGGGCGCTAATATATATATATATATATATATATATATATAGCACCCTGGTTTAAATCTTTTTCTTCTTTAATTGACTCCTCCTAAGTTTACGTTTTGTGTGAAAGAAATTTGGTACAATAAAGCGAACGTTAACCCCTCAATAATGCAATTTTTTCATTTTAAGCGAAATTATGTTTTCTCAAATACTTTATTTTAATTTCCAAAATAGGTATTAAGCAGTTCAGTAATTATCAAAAGAGAATCACTTGCAACTTCTTTGACAATTTTGCATTGTTTGAAAAGGCAAAGATGTAACACACAAATTGTTTGGAAAAATATAAAAAATATATAAACATGTTTATTGGCATATAAAACATTGTCACACTCAGTTTTCACTGCAAATAATTTCCATTCACAACACTAATATTCCTTAACCATCATTGTTTGAGCAAATAACATCCATGAAGATTTATTTTATAAAGAAATCACATCATCCAAAATTATGTATACAATGACAGTACAGTAATAGTTCTAATAAAAGCCAGGACTAGAACTCTGATTGTCATCACAGCCATTTGCGTTCTGCATCTAGAAAATGTTTTTGTGCAGCAATTCTCAGCATATAACAGGTCCAAATTAGTTGGTGCTAATTTGCTAAAGAGCCTCCAAAGTGTGTCCATCACATTCCATTCTTGCCCAGAGTTTCCTATGGACTACATGTTAAAGCTTTTTCTCCGGATGCATATATATTACACCATCAAGTTCGAAAACAGAAGACTGGCAACTCCAACTAAAAAAGGAAGAAAGAGCAGAAAGTACATTAAAGTTAGCCATCTATAAACTAGCCTGCATATAGTGCTCAGTTTATAAACTATATTCTACATAGTTTGATACTATCTGGGCTGCATCTGAATAAGTTGGGCAAAATTTAGTAGATAAATATCTAATTCAAGAAAACAGTGAACTTAAAAAGACATGTTTATTAAACTTGGCAGAGAAATTGTGTTGAAGACATATATACTGACACTGTAATATACATCAGAGATACTGTATATCTATTGCAAGAATGAGTTCATGAATTGTCAAAGTGTACATGGATTGTAACTTTCATAGTTTATAAATTTCGTTTCAAGTAATATTAATGTTACTTTCGAATGAAAACATACAGCAAATGGGACGAAAAGCTATGTTCTTTTATGTCTGGCTGGCCGAACTAGCCATATTTAAGAGCACAAAATTTGACTTAAAAAACACTTTCAGGGCTAATAAAACAGATAATAATACTTTCTTACCTTTCTAATTTTGATTTTCGACCGTAAACGTTGAATTCAGGTGTCCAAAACCGGTAAAAATGAAGTTTTTATGCGCGCGATGCCAATTTCACAATACATTTTCCATTCGTTCTGGCTGCACTTTCAGTGCTTCCATTTTCAAAATAAAGATTTCCCATTTTTGACATCAAAATTTCTCTAAATTCCTTAGATTGTATACATAATTTCCTTGAAATTTCCTTGAAACTAAGGAATAAGGATATAGTTAATTTTAAAGGTACAAAATAGCACAATTAACACAGATTGGGCTAGGTAAAAAACACAGGCTATTATACTGTTTAAAATTAAATATTTGTTATGATTTTACAACATATACGATTCCACTGATATAATCATGGATAATAAAATAAATTATTTTATTATCCATGATATAATTAATTAACTATTCACAGTGTTTGGCGTCAAAAGTTGCTAAATCCCATCGCTCAAAAACTTTCGGAAGTTTTCGGAAACACGAAGAAAAACTTATAAACAGATTTTTAATTAACATAATTGATAAATAATGATAATTAACTCAAAAATGTAAAAAATAGTGAAACCTTCTTCTGCACCAATGCACGGGATGAATATTTAAGTTTTTCGGGAAAAATCCTTAGATTTCCTTAGATTTTTTCTCTTCCTTAGATTTTCCTTTTGGACCATAGAATTTCCTTAGAAAAGGAAATTTCCTTGAAAATGGAAGCACTGTGCACTTTACTGGCCAGAGTAATGGCGGCCAACCGGAAGTCGCACCTGTCGGAGGCATCAAAAACTTCAAAGGAGTGAGCCATCTATTCATTTCTTAATCTATGGTCATATTGCAGAAAAGACATTTTATACACATGCTCAAGGGAAAAGTTCACCCCCCCCAGCCGGGATGAAATGTATATATCTGAATTTTTCATCTTGCTTATAGGTGAGATCCCGGAATCTGTTGACCCATTTAGGCCCATGGCCATGGGATAAGTGGCGGGATCATATAAAATAAACACTCATTAGAATTTGTATTATGAGCGGGATCTCGGTAAACATCCTTCCCGCCTGGCCGGGACAAAAAGATACACACTATGTAGTATGTAGCTTATTTAAAGTCCCTGGTTTTTAATAGACAACAGTTAAACCTACAAATCTGACTTTCTTAGTTTATTCTTGCCTTTGCCATTGTGGCATTGGCAAGGCGAGATGGATGCACAGTATATTACAAAGAAAGCCGAGCAGGCGGTAAACCTCGTATAAAATATTACTGTAACACACGCTGGGGGCTCCGGCAACCACCAGCTTGTTTTATTTATTTATTAACTTTACAATCATACAAAATTATAACAATGATTGAAAGCCCTCAACTCTGATATAATTATATAAACTGAAGTATAAATAATCATGACGACAACGTTGGAAATGCATATTAAATTACAACTTGAAATTAAATTCTGAAATTAAGCAGAGAAAACCCCGCAACATTTTAATGTGAGTTTTTTGTTAATATTTGGGTGCTGTCATTGGTTCTTTTTTGACAATTGACGCGCGAATGGGGCGTGTTATGAAAAGGGGCGTTTTACAAAATTCCGGGCCTTGCTTGCAGGCCCACTATCAGTTCCCTTGGGCCTGCACGCGGGCTATTGGTCAGCTAATTGATCAAGCCAAAAATGTACAAAAAAATTCATTATTACAACAATACAAAATTTTTTTCATTAACAGGGGTGGTGCTATTAAGGGAGGTGGGGGTTGAACACCCCTCAGTTGTCAGGTAGTCGGCAATGATTGAATCCCAGTTGGCAAATTGTTTTTGTAGTCTGCAAAACATGAATTGGTTAGGAAGAAAAAAAGAGTAAAATATTTGGGTGACAGTGATTAAAAACTAGTAATTATAGCTAAAATTTACAGGAATTTACGAAAACACAAAAATATTAAACAAGTTAACCCAAAAAATATTATGAAAGCCCTGTTTTTATGTATATATTCAACAATTTCTTGGATGCAAGTCATGCAACATTGTTGGCCTTAATATTTGAACACCATGTTGTTGGTGGTTGGGTATAGTGTTGAAAGATGTTGGATTGGGTTTGATTTTATCTAATCCAGAAGCAAAATTAAACAAGCTGTGGCTCAATACAGTTTTTAAGAAAATGGAAAATTCACGATTTAGATGCGTATTTTTGGACAATTATTACTTGTTGATAAACAAAACTACCTTACTTATATAAAACAACATCTAAAGAGTTTGAATTTTTGCACAAAAGTTACGCTGCCGTTGCTATGGCAACAATGACGTTTCAAGATGGCGGATATTTTGGCTTTAAAGTAATTTAACTCGTAAACGACATCGGTGACCCCCAAATTTTATTTTAAAAAATTATTTCTCTTAGTATAATAGTATTTTGACAATTTAAAAAAAATTCTGTGGAGCCAAAAAATTTATTATGAATAATCACCTTTACGTAATTTAAAAATTTCGGCTCCACAGCATTTTTTTTAAATTGTCAAAATAATTGATTATACTAAGAGAAATCATTGGGGTTCACCGATGTCGTTTACGAGTTAAATTACTTTAAAGCCAAAATATCCGCCATCTTGAAACGTCATTGTTGCCATAGCAACGGCAGTTGAGTAACTTTTGTGCAAAAATTCAAACTCTTTAGATGTTGTTTTATATAAGTGAGGTACGTGTACTTTTTTTATCAACAAGTAATAATTGTCCAAAAATACGCATCTAAATCGTGAATTTTCCATTTTTTCAAAAACTGTATTGCGCATGTACAACAAAACTAAAAAAATAAAATGAGGTTTGTGGTTATATAACACTGATCGTAACAATTCTATTAAATTAATTGTTTTTGCATTAGTGTTAATTGATTATTCTCCATTAACATTTTCCAACATTTAAAGTTTGTTCGTTCAATTTGTTGACTTGAAAGTGTCTCCAGGGAGTGGGGATTTGATGTTCTGAATTTGGCCTTATATGGTGGGGAATTTAACAAGGTCAAGGGTAGAGAATTTGAATCTAACAATCCAGAATTGGAATATTTTAGGTACAATGCCTGCACATCAGCTGTAAATATGGCAGCAGCAGACTGTTTGAAATCAGTTTGATTTAATTTTGTTAAGAGACTGGCTGGATTGGAAAAGCTGCAATGCAAATTGTGTGAAATTATATTAAACTTTTTTCACATTTTTGAACTGCAATAGTCCACAATATGTATTTGGCCAAAATATGGTGGAATGCATTTTTGCAGTTTCTTCCGTCTCTGTGTTGACAGTTTCATATATAATATTTCAGTGGCAGGGGTCGGTATTTGCCTTTTAAATGTTTTGCTATTGTGGGCATTTGAACATATTCCATTTTTCTTCCAGGGTATCAATGGGGAATTTGCATGGACAATCAAATTTTCAGAAGTAAAAATTCGCAGGGTAATTGCAGGGTTAGGGAATGGCAGTATTAATTGACATATATGTAAATGCGCCCTACTTTATGATTTTGCT